GGCTCCTTTCTCTTTAAGTCTGTTTTTGTCTCTGTTTTTTTTCCCTGTCCCGGTTTCATTTCAAAGGCATTCTAGTTATATTGTTTTTAGGTTTTATCAGTATGTCCTTGGTTAAAGTTTGTTTTTGTTTTTTCCAAAAACCATGAGTTGTAAACCCTTTGGCTCGGTACTGTGGCACTCGCAACCCATCGTCCTGGATTAAATGACAGATACCGTAAATCTGGGAGAAATGCGGCTTTCCTGCCTGCCACTGGCGTGAAACCGGACCACAAGGAGTAGGCAGAAAAGCCAGATTTCTCCCAAATTTGCGGTAACTATCATGAAGTAACAATTTTGACATTCTGCATCTTTTACATAGCAAGTCATTGACTCTCACATTCTTTAGAGGAACAAAAAATCGATGCTCTTGAACTGAACTGTTACAGTAATGTTTTTCAGAAATCGTGAATCAACCAGTAAAGCAGTCTTCTGAAAATAGAACATTAAAAGATTCGTTTTAGCTTATTGAAGTACCAGTTGACTTACATCGATCGAACGGAGAGACAGCTTGGAAATAAGGTGGCAGAGCACATACCCAAATGGCTACATACACAGCTCAGTGATTCTTCTAGGGTGTCGAGACCAGTCAAGAGGAAAGAACCCGCTTCTTCCATAGGACGTCAGCTACTTAATTCCGGACACATAATTGACACAGACAGTGCTTTTCGTATGGTTTATCACACTCCGAACAGGTGACTTTTGAGAATATCCGAAGCCATAACAATACAAATCAAAAAACCCCTCCTTTGTAAGCAGACTGAATTTATCGTGAATTTAAAGTTGCCCTGGTAAGTCACGTGACTACGGTGAGCTTACCGGCGGCCATGAAACAGAGACAAATTATTGAAGAAACTTCACATTTCAGTTGAATTTATTCAGTTTTGTGCTTTATTTTACGTTGATGTAACTCTGTAGTAACGCACATGATGAGATACAGCGAAATATGCCTGGCAATTAAATTGTGCAATGTATTGTTTGTATCCGCATTTTTCAAATCAACAAGTAGGAAAGAACGTCGAAATCGCATCTTGCTTACCTGAGCCTCTGACCAGGTGGCTACTCTGTCCCCATAGGCATAACAGGACCCTTGCATATAGGTCCAGTCTGGTTGGCACTGCCCGTTATTGGATTTAGCAACTGCCAAATTTTAGAAAACATGACGTAATTGTCTTCGCCTACAGTCATACAGCAAAAAATATACACAAAATTACATATAAACAAACAATTGAACGTGTACGATACGACAGATAGCGAATATATCACCGTAAACAGAATGACAGGACGTTATTTTTAGGTTGCGTTTTTATGTGCACATCGGTTTGACATATCTGTCCTTGTTGTATGCAGAATGTTGGTTCGAAGCCCCTACGGCAATTGTACTCCAAAATCGAAGGAAACGCGAATAATAAGTCTGTTTTTATCAACAACGAAATTCCTAATCTGTTTAAATCACCGTTGATAACTGGCGTCATGTGATCCAATCGACTGAAATTGCTGGGGCATAGTGAGAAAATGGAATTCCCGTTTTGTCGTGGTTGGACGCTCGCCGCGGATCGGAAGATTGTGGGTTCGCTACCTGGCGAAGCCGGAATTTTTTTTCTTAAAAAATGCCCTTGGTTCCTAGGTCGACCCAGCCTTGAGTGGGTACAGAGTGCCCGGGAAGTAAAGGCGGCCGGTGTGATGCTGACCACATCACCCATGTTGTTCCGATTGGTCGATAAACATATAGGTCCAGCCCTATACACCTAAAGGCGTGCAAAAGGATTCTTTCTTTCTTTCTTTCTTTTTTTCATGGTAAGAAAATGACATATGAGAGAGAGAGTTAACAATTGTTTAAAGAAGGGAGCTGAATTGTCGTAGACTGCGAGGCAGACCAAGAAGACGACGAAGAGATAATGCCCAGACAGAACTGAAATCACTTGGTTTCCCCAAGTGGAAAGAGAAGATCAACCAGAAAGAGGTATGGAGGCGGGTGACATCTGTAGCAATGAACCTAAAGGGATCAGAATGCTGAAGAAGAAGAGAAATAATCATAATGGCAAATGAAAAGTTAACCCGTGTATTGGTCACGGTTTAGGAAAAGGTAATACTTAATTTATAATAAACACACGAAACACAGAAAGGATTTTGTTTGAGACCAATCAGCACTAGACGGACAAAAATAGGATTTATTTATTTGTTGGAACAAAACTAGAATAGACCAACTATCTCCTTAACAAGCATGGCGTGAGTCAACTAATTAGCGGTTTTTCTTAGAAGTCAGATTATATCTGCCTGATAATCAGTAGAGCAACATTTTGCATAAAGAACAGCTAGATATGTAAAACGGAAGTGCACTCTACACTTAAGTTCTGGAACAAGATTAAAGCACAGAAGCGGACAAACAAGCAGTTTTCCGCAAGAGTTTACAGCCGGTGAACGCGAAGGAAAAGACTCAAATAGAATTTTGCATCTGGGTTCTGAGATCCAGCGCCCGCTAACAATCATGTCGTAATAGACACATGACTGTGAACTTACAGAAATAGTAAGAGTTGGATTGAAAGGCAAATATTATCGCAGCCTTGCTGTAAACCACAACACAATGTGTCAAAACCGGTTTGAGGGCAAAAAAGAGGAAAAACTTACATAGGAACCGTGCCCTCGCAGCCAAAGTGGCCATGCAGAGAATGAAAATCGTCAAAGTGGCCATGGTGGTTTGAAGCTGGCTTGACTGTCTCAGTGAAGGGAGAGTAGATTTCTCTGCTGCTCGTGCTGTCTGCACCTTGTTTTATACAATTTTCTAGCTTTTATTGCACACATGTGATAATTGTTTAAAAAAACAGTCACTATTTTAACGACCATACATAAAACCTGATAGATAAAACAGTCGCAACAAGACTCCGTCACCCAAGATTGTGAACATACAAAGGCATATCGTATGATTTTGTCACTCTTCAGTGTCTGTTGTCACACACAAGTGAAAGAGCATGTTTTAAAACACGCCGAGATATCTTTTGAAATCCGCCTACGTTTGCAGTATTCAAATCACTTTCTAGACTGCATTACGTTTGAAACCTCAAGGCATGGAAAAGGTAACCTAGTCGTCTTTCTTCAATTTCAGCATAGGTCCACGGGTGTCGTCACAAAGAAAACTCTGGGCGAAGATGCTGTTTACTAGCCAATCTTCCTTGTTGTCCAGAGCTTTCCGTATCTCTGTTATTCTTGGACCATTCTGATAATCTTTTTAATATTATAAGGGTGATGATGATGACTGTTTGATTATTGAATTAAGAATCAACATCACAGCTCTCGGGACACTTAAATAAGCGCTCTGCTCCTATCTTCAGCAGCAAGCAAGGAGTTCCAGTTCCCATGTAACTATCTTATTGTATATCCGTCTTGCCCTTCCCTTAAGAGTTGAGATCCCCTGTTAACTCATGGAGGGCCATTCTCTTCAGATTGATATGATCTATTGTGTTAAATGATGACGATGGTGATGATGTTAATATGATAATGATGATGATGATGATGATGTTAATGATGATGATGAAGATGATGATGAAGATGGCGACGACGACGATGATGATAATGATGATGACGATAATGATGATATTATTATGCCGAATAGAAAGTTAATATGATTATATATTTAAAGTACTAGCCGTAGTAGTGTAGATGCTAGACGTTCGTTGTTGGACTCGAAGGACCATAAGTTTAAATTAAAATTTGACATTGGTTCCCATGTCGACCCAGCCCAATTTAGGTACCAGGTAATGAACAGAGAAAGTAAAGGCGGCCGGCATGATGTGGACTAGATCACCCAGCGAGTGCAGGATGGTCTTTCAAAAAGGGTTCAAGCACTATGAAGAAAAGACGCTGGCCTTGGATAGGACACATAATGAGAAATCTTGATTACAATGCAACTAGAATGTCTTTGCACTAGAACCCACAGGGGCATATAAATAAAGAAGATTCCAACAATTATTTTTCTTTTTTCTTTACATTTTGTGAATTCAGTCAACGGCAACGAACATTGGACATCCCCATAAGAGATCAGTCTCTCGATGGGCAAAAATATTGTGACAATCAGTAAATACACACTTTAGAAGAGAACGTCTTAACATGGTAGGGAAGATGGTGGGGGAATGATAAGCTCCCCTACATATTTGAAAAGTTTGAGGTTTTGTTTTGAACAACGTATCAACATCATGGCACACTGTAGTAACCAATAAGTGCTCCGCTCTTTTTTTAACTAAAGTCTGAGTCCAAAGATGGCTCAGCACAGTGCACAGGCTCTGTAGCACCAGCGGGGATCCTAAAATACTTTTAGGTAGATTTTTTAACTGCAAATCTTTGCTCGGACAGCGCCGTTAGGCTACTCTTTTCGATTTTCAATTGCCAAAGGATTCTTTTTTACGTTCGCAACAATGCACACGGGCGTCCGATCTCACTACACAGAGACCAATGGAAATTACAAAAAGTCTAAGTCCAAGTAAAAAGATCCCAACTCTTTCAGTGGATTAAATCCAGAACCTCTAGCACTCGAGGCGGACACCACGCCTCGAGACCCCGCAGCCCTTCTACATATTTGAGAGCGCTGGGTAAATATTTAATTATATATATATATATATATATATATATATATATATATATATATATATATATATATATATATATATATATATATATATATATATATATATATTTCATGTTGTGAGGAAGTGGGTTTGAAATCAAGGTAAAAAAAAAAACTAACGGGTTCTCACATCTCTATATGTGTTCATCAGTTAATTTCAACAAAAGTCCCTAAGTATAGTCACTAGAGCTAGAGAGTTCGTGCTTTCATGCCACGCTGGCGTGAGTTGCCTGGTCGAAAGCCTTCTCCAACTGACGGTCCAAGTCGCAGTTACGGCCAGCAGTGCAGCGTGGGTGATTAGAAGTTTTTCAGAGTGAAATCAATAGTCGAACTGATTTTTACGTGCTTTTTGTTTACGTTATCAAAAAAGGCTGTTGTGAAGTGTTAAGTGTCAATAATTATGCCTGTGAGGTGCTCAATGCTCAAATTATCGAATTGTGATACTTTCAGTGGATATGTGATTGTGTTTAAATCTTCTTTGGATGTACAGAAGAGAAAGATGGCTTAAATTGAATGAAAGGAACCTGAAAACTGGCTAAGTTCACTGACTAATTATTTGAATAATAAATTATTGAATACACTTAGGTGATAATCTGAGTGGTTACTTTTCTCTATTCACATATGTGGATACTTGAACATTTTAAGTATGTGTAGATATTATTCCAATATTTGACGTATATTAAGTTTCTCTGTTGTTCAAAATAAGGTCATTGTTGTTACTCCCCCCCCCCCCCCCCATAATTTCTATGTAGCGTGACCAAACAATCTTTGACTGAAAACGGGGCATCCCACTATTATTTAGAGCTGAAAATGGGTGGACAGGACAATATATGCGAATATGCTGAGTGGACAAGAAAACTACTGCTGATATAATGAATGAACAAGGATAATATTGTAATGTGTAAGTAGCCATTACAGCTATGACATGCACGCCTAGCTACTGTTTGAGCAGAACTTGTAATGTGTGAGTAACCATTGTAGCCATTACAGCCATGACATGCACGCCTAGCCACTGTTTGAGCAGAACTTGTAATGTGTAAGTAGCCATTACAGCTATGACATGCACGCGTAGCCACAGTTTGAGCAGAACTTGTAATGTGTAAGTAGCCATTACAGCTATGACATGCACGCCTAGCCACTGTTTAAGCAGAACTTGTAATGTGTAAGTACCCATTACAACTATGACATGCACGCCTAGCCACTGTTTGAGCAGAACTTGTAATGTGTAGGTACCCATTACATCTATGACATGCACGCCTAGCCACTGTTTGAGCAGAACTTGTAATGTGTAAGTAGCCATTACAGCTATGACATGCACGCCTAGCCACTGTTTAAGCAGAACTTGTAATGTGTAAGTACCCATTACAACTATGACATGCACGCCTAGCCACTGTTTAAGCAGAACTTGTAATGTGTAAGTACCCATTACAGCCATGACATGCACGCCTAGCCACTGTTTGAGCAGAACTTGTAATGTGTAAGTACCCATTACAACTATGACATTCACGCCTAGCCACTGTTTGAGCAGAACTTGTAATGTGTAAGTAGCCATTACAGCTATGACATGCCCTCCTAGCCACTGTTTAAACTGAGTCTTCTGAAAATAATTCGATTTTTCACATTTATTGTCTGTTGTTATTCCACGCAGGGTGTTTATTATTCACACCATTCAAGAAATTGCTTAAACCTGACATCACACTCCCACCTCTATCC